TTTCTTCCTAAATTTTATCTAAGGAGATGGTTTAGGGAGTTCATTGTTGATGTTTTTAACCACTTACCCAAAAAAGCAACAACTTGCAAATTTATTGTGTCAAAATCCAAAAACCAACTAGCTTCTCTTCAATTCTAAACCAATTAGGAACCCCCAAGTGGAAAAATACAAAGTTAGGTTATTTTCACAACTGGTTCCTAAGCTTCACGAAATTATCATCTTTTAATTGTGACATGGTTGTGACATGGTTGGTCTATACCTAAACCATCCTGTAAGCATCTCCCAACTTTTCCACCTACATGCATAAGCTTTCAGGGGGATAATAGAGAAAGACTGTCATCTGCCGATTGGTATTCTCAACCTTAGCCACAAGTCGCAATTGTCTAAAGACTAACCCAAATGCTGCACCAATTCAGGAAACTCACACTTCGGAATTTGGTTGAAGAATCTTGTGTAATTATACGTAGTTCTACAAACTAGGAATATGCTTGGAGGCCAAGCATCCATCTCGTGCATAAATATTATGATTATGTCTTAATACAAATCATCGAATTCAAACTTAAGTGAATCTCTAATAGGAGGTTAAGCTTGGGAAAGCAAGAGCGGTAGAAAGAGAGAAAATAAAAGGAAGAGAGGGGCTTCAGGTGGGGTTTTTTATTTCCTCTTTTGCTCATTTTCTTTGAACTTTTTTTTCTTTTACTATTATGTTTTTTTGGGGGGGTCAAATAATTTTTTTTTGGGGGGTCAAATAATGTTTAAGTAATCTTAAAATTATAAATTTACTCATAACATTGACAAAAATTTGGATAAAATTGTGAAAAAAAATTAACGGGCGAGATTGGCTATTTTTATATATTTCATTTCCTTAGTTTTCCAAACAAATAGTTTGAGGGATTAATTGTCAATCGTGTGATAATTCAACAGACAAAATGACAGTTTAGCCAAATGGGTAGGAGAGGAACTACAAAGAAGATGGAAAGTATTTTTCACCCATTTGTACGTAAGCTCGGATATAAAAATGCAAAACAAACCTTGAAATTCAGCAGGTGCCACACAAATCATAAAAATATGAAGAAGGCTAATACTATTGTCCTCTTGGTCATTGCAACTTGTGAGTTTTCCTCACAACTTTTCTTCTTTTTTGGGGATCAAATTTAGGAAGGGAGAGTGATTTCTCACACACATACATACACACTATCAGGGTACCATAGGAGTTTAAATCTGATACCACTATTCTGCAAGTTATGACTTTTTTCACTGGGCTAGACCTTGTTAGCAAGTTTTTCTCACTACTTCAGTTCTCCCACGGGGACTAATAAAAATATTTGACATGGGTCCATATCAGAAAACATGAATTTGGGCTTTATTTGAAATCAGAAATTAGCCCAAGAGGTTTAAGAGGCCCAAATCTTTGTTAAAAAAAAATTTGCAAGGATTAAAATCACAGATTAAAGATTAATTGCCATTAAATGGCGACTTAATATGAACAAATCTAAGCTTCTAATTGATTACAGGATTAGACCCAGCTTCTAAAAAACTCTCATCATCGTTCATCTCAATCCCAGAGTGCTAGTCATCATATTTTCTAGGAAGATTTGTTCTCAAAAACAACCCACATGACTTTCTGACTTTGAAAAAGTCCATATTGTCAACCCTATGGTTCATAAAATGTCAATTCTAATATTATAATAGTTGAATTAGCATCATGTGGCAGTGTGATTTTCACATCCAAAAACTTTCATACTTACTATTCTTAAGAAGTTAACTAGATCAAAACAAATGCATTTCAAAGTCTTTTTCCTTATCTTGAAGATATATATTTTATTTGCAAGAACAATAAAAAATCGTAAGAATTTGGAATCTACTATACACAAAAAATTAATAACATATAGAGATATAATTTTATACTAAGAGCTAGTTTGGCATTACTATGCTGTGAAAATCGTTTGATTGGTAATAGGCATTGATCAACGACATCAGCGGCCATGATGATAATGGAGTGGTTGTATAGTTATGCTAAGTTTGTGTTTTTCCCTACCTAAAATCTCATTGTAATGGAATTTTGGGAACAATACCTATTTAGTTAGGTAAAATAAAAAATTCAAATATTTTCCATTCTAGATTTTTTTTTTTTTTTAAAAAAAAAATCTTTCTTATTGGAAGGGGCTTACTAAAAAAATTTCTTATTGACTATACCTAAGGAATCTCATTTATTAATTTGACGAAATAATTTCCTTGTTGATTATACTACATAAGGAATCACTTTTATTAATTTAACGAAATTTACAAACTAAACCACAAACCAAATCAAATCACACATGCATCAAGAAGATATCCCAAATAATTTGAAATTTAATTAAAGTTTACATACTTCTCTTGCGTTAATCTGCACATGCAACCCTTATAAATATGGCCCAAAAGTGCTCACTTGTAATGCAAAAAAAACTTTGAAATTCAGCAGGTCCACACAAATCATAAAAATATGAAGAAGGCTAATACTATTTGGATTGTCCTCTTGGTCATTGCAACTTGTGAGTTTTCCTCACAACTTTTTTTTTTTTCTTTTTTTTTTGCCAGAGTTAGGAAGGCGAAGGGTGATTTCACTCTCACACAAACACACACACACACTACCAAGGCACCATAGGGGTTTGAATATGAGACCATTAGTCAGCAAGTTAATACCTTTTTCCATTGGGCTAAACCTCGTTCGCAAATTTTTCTCACTACTTCAGTTCTCCCACTGGACTCATAAAAATATTTTTATTAGATTTACATAATATTGACTAGTGATTTCTTTTTTTCTTTTTTCTTTTTTAAACAATGTTAATTTGCAGGTGTAACATTATTCTCAACAGGAGCAGAAGGGAAACAATGTTCTACTAACCAGGATTGTGACAAAACTTCATGTGTTTCAAAAACAGTTATTTGTTTTGGCCACAAATGCACATGCTTGGATCCAATTGATTCTAATCACCAAAGTCAACGTTAAACCTCTATTTCATCCAAAAAGTACCACACTTGCTCTGCATCCGTTGATTGCTAAGATGTTAAAGCATCATGTGTTTCAAGAACAGTTATTTGTCAAGATGGAAAATGCATATGCCTCGATTGATATATCCATGTCGCAGCGCTGTCACCAATCTAAATAAATCTCATCCACTATAATATTTCTTCGCAAAATGATTAACAAAATATTTCAATAATACGCATGTTTGAGGGATCCCTTATTTGAGAGACACCTTTATAAGGCCCGCAATGCATTATATTTCACTAATTCAAACCGTTTATTTTGTAAATATTCATTCAAATATCATCTTTACAGAAAATCACTTGTATCCGATATCATTTGACCACTCAATTAAATTATTGAAATTTATGTACTTTCTTGAAGTATTATATATTCATTGATTTTCTTGGTCTCAATTAGATGCCTTAATGATTTTCATGATTTTTTTTTGCAAGGATAATATATGAAAGATGTGAAAAATAATGATTTGGATCATTGAAAAAAATTCATAGGGGACCCTAAAATTCGTAGGGGATACCTTTTAGGGAACGATCCAAACTATCTATTTTTTAAGTCTGCATTCATATATCATCCTTGCAAAAAATTAAACAAATCATAAACTGTTTCAACATCTAATTGTGTCCTTCAAAATCAATGAACACGGTGCTTCAAGAAAATACTAAAATTTCAATAACTCAAATAAGTGGTCAAATGATATCGGATTCAAGTAATTTTTTGCATAGATAATCTTTGAAGATTATCTCTACAAAAATTATCTTTACAAAACACAATTGGATCTATGAATGAAGACCTAAAAAATAGATGGTCATTCAAATATTATCTCTACAAAAAATTACTTGAATCCGATATCATTTGACCACTCATTTAAGTTATTGAAATTTTAGTACTTTCTTGAAGCACTGTGTTCATTGATTTTGCAAGACACAATTGAATGTCGACACGGTTTCCGATTTGTCTAATTTTTTGTAAGGATGATCTATGAATGAAAACCTAAAAAATAGATGGTTTGGATCATTGGGAAAAAATTTGTAGGGTACCCTAAATGGCGTCCCTCAAATAATTATTTGAGGGATCCCTCAATAGAAGGGAACTATATATATATATATATATCTTTGTGATTATTGGAACACCACGTCTTGAACTTTATTGAAGGAAAAATGAGGATAAAATGCAAAATATATCTTTTTGCTTTCTCACTTGTAATTAGTATCTCTTAGCACCACATTTTTTGTTTTACATAATTAAAAGTCTCCAAATATAACCTAATATATATTTTTTGTCAGGTGTAGCAGGAGAGCAGAAGCCAGGATGAATGCTCAAAAATGTTCTTCAAACGCCGACTGCAAAACGTTTCCATGTGGTTGATCCACAAAGATTTGTTGTGACAACTATTGCGAATGCCTACTCTCAAATACTGGACCTGCACATCCAAATGAGGATCAATGTTCCAATTCGGCTGATTGCACAGGAATTCCATGAACTTTAGGAACTATCGAATGTCTTGATTTGGGCAATGCCTGACAATAAAGGCACAAGGCTACATAATCAGAATTTCTAACATCCTACCTGGCAACAATTTAATTAAAAAAAAAATAATTAAAAAAAAAAAAAAGATTATATCAAGCTCATTAATGTTGTATATGTTCATATGTATTAGTGTGGGGTTCATTGCACTCGACTTATACAGAAATGCCTATTAAGGGATGCTATATTTCTTGATTAGTTAACAAGATTAAAGATAATCCATATTATCAAAGCCAAAAGTTGGACTGTATTATCTGGAAATTTCATATTATTTCCACAAAGTTTGAAAAAATTACATATTAGATTTCTCTGGCGTTAAAACTACCACAAATGTCGACACGCCTATAGTATAAATATAGCCCAAGGGGCTTCTTACTATAGTGCAAAACGAAAACCTTGGAGAAGTTGATCATCACGATTCACATCCATCCATCTCAGGTGACAAAAGCAAAATCAGACATGGAGAAGGCAACATCTAAGCTAGCTATTTTCATCGTCTTCTTGGTCATTGCATCTTGTGAGTTTTTTTTCTTCATATATATATCTTGTTGTAGCAGAACACTGTATTATATAAGGTCTCTAATCGATTATATTTTGTTTTTGGGGGGGCAGGTGCACCATTCTTCTCGGAAGCCATGGTGATTAAGCGAAGATGCTCTACTACCGCTGACTGCGAAACGTTTCCCTGTTACTCAAAAGAGTTTAAAAAGATTTGCATTGACAACTTGTGCGAATGCAAAATACCAAATAGTGATGGCTCCACCCAGACAACTGAAAATGAAAGACCATGTTCCAGTCAGAAGGACTGCGACAAAATTGATTTCCTATGTCGATCGGGAACCCTCAAATGTGTTAATGGGAAATGCATATGCGTAGGCGTGAATTGATGGCTATTGGTCCAATCTAGAGAGGTGCAACTTAAGTGTTGGATTATTAACAAGTGGCTATGGCCTATGGGGATGTATTAATCTTCCTACTATGAATAATACAACAAATACAAATGGTACTCGAATTGAGCATGGCTAATATTATTTATGCCTTATATTATATATCTTTGTGGTCTTGGAACCCCTCGATTTCTTGAGCAAAAGCCACTAATGATAATTTCTAATATCTTGCCTGGCTAACAAAGATATCAACCTTATCTAAATGCCGGATGATGTGTTAGCAAGATTAAAGATAATACATATCTTTTCCCTTATCCCTTATATCTTAAACTGACCCTTTCATATAACAACGCTTTTCTACTTATTTTAGGAGATGAACATGAAGCATAGTTGAAGTTGACAGTTTTTAACTCTTCTCTAAATTTTAATTCAAAAAGTCATTTACGGAAACCATCCATTAGATATGTATCAAGGAAGCATCCCATACAGTTTGGAAAGTACTTCATTAACCTGCTATTTTTAGCTTTCTTTGATGTTAAAACTAGACATGTGTGAAACCCTACAAATAGATACAACCCAAGAGACCTCACTTACGTACAAGGTCTTAAATATCAATAGTTTTGGAAATATCGGTAGTTCAAAAATACGGAAATATCGGGAAAATATCGATATCGATAAAAATTGGATAAAAACCATGGAAATTGTGATAAATACATGGAAATTTTTAATGAAACTTTAGAAGAAGTTTATTTAGTCAATCATCTATTATTTTGACACAAAAAATTGGAAGGAAATGCATTGCATAGTGGGTTTGAGTGATTTAAGTTGATTATATTGCGAGCTGACAAACTCTGCGACTTAGAAAATTTGGAGTAATTAATGAAAGAGAATTAAACATCCCTTAGTAATTTATTTATCATTTTTTAGTAAAATATTTTACACTTTTTAAATTGCATGATAAGATACACGAGTAACCTTATTTCACGTTATTCATTTGACATTGTACACATTGTTATATTTATTATTTTATCAAAAATTGAAAAATAATTAAAGATGTAAACCAACTTGATTTGTCATGAAAATTAGGCACTCTACCATGCTTAAAAAATAATAGTGAAGATAGAAAATTAACTAAGAACATAAATAAATTTATCTAAGGAAGAATTAAATAGAAAATAAAGAAAATGATTATAGAGATTTAAGTGACTAAGCAACAATTTATTTCACGTTATACATTGGACATGGTACGCGTTCTTATATTTATTGTTTATCAAAAATTAAAAAATAATTAAAGATGTAAATCAATTTGATTTTTCATGAAAATTAGGCACTTTACCATGCTTAAAAAATAATAGTGAAGATTGAAAATTAACTAAGAACATAAATAAATTTATCCAAGGAATAATTAAATAGTAAATAATGAAAATGATTATAGAGATTTAAGTAATTAAGCAACAATTTGAAGGAGAATTTAGTAATGAAAGTACTTATAATGAATAATAAAATAATCAATAACACTAAATGGATTAAATAGAAAAGAAATAAATTATATTTAGTAATTAAGTAACTGGTCAACAATATAAAACAATAAGTAATTTTGTTAATTTCTATTTTGAAAAACAGCTCGCAAGTATTATATATACTAGATTCCATAGTTTATAATCACCTAGAAAAATATTGTTGGTTCCGTGGCAAGCCCAAATGTCTTGTAACAAATTTGGGCACATAGAAAAAGACTATCAAACCAAGAACTATCAAGCCAATTACTCAAAAGAAAGTAAGAAAATTGAGCATGTGTTTTATGCTCCTCAAGCCACATCAAAAGGAAACAACAAAAAATGGTATATTGATAGCGACTATAGTAACCACATGATTGGAGATGAAAGCATCTTCTCCAACATAGACAAGTTCGTAAATCCCAAGTAAAATTGGGAAATGGAGCACTGGTGGAGGCAAAAGGAAAAGGTACAATCTCTATCCAAACTAATAAGGGGTCCTTTGGCACGGCATACTTTCATAGACTGGACTAAATCCTAGGATTGTCTCGGATTAGCTCGGATTGGCCTAAGCTAGATTAAGTACTGACCTACATTTGGTGATGCGTCAAGTTTGGCATTGCTGTGCTGTGAAAAAAATCACTTTCAAATTTACTGTAATAGAAATCAGCTGTGAATTAAAGCTGTTGAGTATTTGGTAAACTATATGCTAGAAGTGATGTGGGTACAAAAATCAGTTTTCTGAGCGTTTGGTAAACTATAATATAAAAACATTATAGTTATGTATAATAACTAAAATAGACATTATACTGAAAATAACTTTTTATTTAACTATTTAGTAAAGAAAATATTTTCACTTTAATTTATGCAAAGCTTGTACCAAAAAAATATTACACACCTCAAAAATATTTCAACTATAAAATAATAAAGGTAAACAAATAACAAGTTGTGAAATTGTGTACTGCACGTTTGCCACCTCAAATATTCTTGAAGCTTCTATTATCTATTGACCAGCCTCAAATGCGCTTCTGTTTCTCAAATGTATTCATCATTGGCAACGTCTCTGATCTTCCTTCCTCTCTCCCTTAATAAATAAATTAAAAAAAGAATAGAAAATGCCTAAAATTCTTCGGATCGAGATTGGGCTGAACAATCCTCAGCTTTTTTATTCTTCCAGATGACATATCATTCTTCTTCCAGGTTCCTCTGCTATACAGAGCTTTTCCTGAGCTTGCCAAAAACAGTTGAGTTCCTCTCATCATCCGAATCATATTATTTCTGGTTTTTGTTTTTGTGGGCAGTCTGTTTTGCAAATGGAAAGATGTAGGAGTTTAAATAGAATCTCTTTACCTAATTATATTCGAGGGTTTGAGAAAAGTTAATAAGTAATCAAATTGGATAGTTTTCTCCTTGAAATTCTGACACAGAGCTTGCGGGGAGAGGTAAATCGTGCTGGTATGTAAGAAAGAAGATGAAGGATAATTGATGTAATTTGTTTAAATTGATAAGGATATTGTTGGCATTTTAGAAAATTTCATTAAACACCACCGGTTCTCATTCCGCTTTCCGCAAAAGCGGAAATGCAAAGCAGCCTCTCAACTGATTCTTCAAATAGCCGTGGTTGGCATCGATTTCTCGTAAAAAGCAGATTTCTCTCTCTTTACCAAACAGGTTTTGTAGCCAAAATTTTAGAAGAAAGTGATTTTGGCCCCAAATAAGTAATACCAAACAGGCACTAAGAAGCTAGATTGTAAAAAAAAGGTTTTTTAGGTTTTAGACATAAAAAAAATTTCACTTTTAGAAAAAGCCAAAGTTTTTTCAAAAAAGACAAAAAAACCACTCAACTTTCAAATCAAAGACATGCAAATGTATTGGATTTCTTAGGAAATCTAAAAATAAATAAGGGCATTTTTGTCCATTTTTGCTTCTTTTAAAATTTTTCTCTCTCCTTTTGCTTTTTCCAAAATGTCCCTTGTAAAAATAGTGAAGACGCATATTTGGTTTTGTATCGTACTAAAAAATAATTCTTATAATATTTAAATTTAAATGGGTTTTTTGACCTAAAAGATAAATAAATGCTACAAAGAAACCCGATTCAAAGATTTATAGCAATATTTGGCAAAAATAAAAAGATTCAAAACAATAATAAAAAGAAAATAAATAAAATTCCTTTTTTAATGAAAAATAAAATTATGATATTTGTTTTTGGGCTTCCCAAGATTAATCGAAACATTGTTAAAAGAGCAAAGCTCACTCTATATAATTCTAGGTTTTTCAGGGATCAAGTAAAACAATAATTAAAAAAAATTATATCTATATATATATATATGTGTATAATTTTTGTATATTTGACTTTTGAATTCAAACTGAAAAATATAATTTGACAAGGTAAAAATTGCTTGCGATAAAGAAAGCATCACATCATGAATTATTAAACTTGTTTCAATATCAAAAAAATATTAAACATTTGTAAATTACTATAGTTTGATTCTCCAAATGCAATATCAAAAATATTATTGTAATATTCCTGATTGTGAAAAAGGTACACATATAAAAAAGAACGCGCTTCATGCGCTTTGAAGTTAATCACTGTTTAGTGAATCAAGTTCTATTAAGAAAAGGTTAGGTGCTTTCCATATGAGCCTTGCTATCATCCCTAATTTCTTGCTTTGCTGTAATTCTACATGGATCCCAATCTTCAAATTTTGTAGCTTATTTCTTGTTATTTTTAATCCACTTTAGATTCTTAGCAAAAGTTGTGGTTGTATTCTTGCACTCCTATGAAGGAGAGTATATTCCACCATTATGGAAATGCTATTTGCAGATCCCATATTTAGTAGCCATTTTCAACAATATTATTAATTTTGTTTTATAATATGAAACTTACTAAACAAAAAATTATAGAAAGGGGAAAGCAAGGTGTTTGTGGACTACTTTTACATGTCGTTGGGGATGATTCATTAAAGAAGTATATAAATAAACACCAAAAAAAAACAAAAAAACAAATCCACTCCTGTCTTCTTTAAATTATTTAAAAAAAAATTGTAAGCTTGTGTATTAAATTCACAAAAACTCATTAACAGGTAATCACTTTTATGAATTTTTTGATAAACTTACAAAATTAGATGTTAGTATGATTGAAACATATTAATTTTATGAAGATATATAATATTTTGTTTTTGGAGGATATTTTTTATTGAGAGGGACAATAATATATTAAATTCACACACACTACACGGATGCTAGAACTCGAACCTAAGATCTTACCTGAATGAACAATTACTCCAAACCATTACACTAGTAGCTCCTTTGCAATTTTATTTAGATATTTGATGTCTTATAACACTGTGAATAAGTAAGATTAGAGCCCATAAAGTGACAGTTCGCTTGGTTTGACCTTTTTGACACAGTGAGGACGCGCTTTGGAAAAACCCATAGTTCCTTGAAAAGAAGACAAAATAGAGCCCACAGAGTATGAGTCACAGATGCTAACGCTTGAGGCAGATAAAGGTCTCAAAATATTCTTTTCATATATCATTTTAGGTCCACGATGGTGTTTCAATTTAATATCAGGCCCTTCTTATATGATTTTTCAGATCCATAAAGTTTCTCACAACAGTGACCTTTAACCACTACCCAGCTAATAGATGAAGGGAAAGTAAAAGAGAAGAAGGGGCTTGAGAGAGAAGATTTCCTTTCTCATAGGCCCATTTTCTGTCCATTGAATGAGGGCTTTGGGTGCAAAAACTATATGTAACTCAATTTTTAGAGAGGCAAGAAAGGTTGAACATGAGTCAACAAGTAAATTCCATATCATATCAAGCCAGCTTTGTTAGCTGTAACCTGTAAGGTGGTACATAAACGTTCAAAAACAACAACAATTTCAAAGATAGCATATGGTTAAGCTAAAAAAAAAAAACAAGGTAAGGATTTGAGGCTGCTTGTCATTAGAATTAAAAGGTCACTTAATAAGAGTTGACAAAAATGCAATTGGTTTGAATTTCGCCTTCGTTTGCTCGGTGAGGACTTGAACATTCCCTAATTTGGCCATGGACACTCCAAACTGGTGGTAGAAGACTGATGGCTCGTAAGCAAACATTATGTGGTGAGATATGCACTTGGATTGCATGTAGATTTTTCAAGTAAATGGAAAGTTCGGATTGCATGTAGATTTTTCTCAAATACCTTCAAAGGTTTGCAGAGGCTATTGCTACCAAAAGTTTGAAATTTTGTTCTAGTCACATCCCAGGGAGGCAGTGGTGAGATATGCACTTGGATTGCATGCAGATTTTTCTTCCCATGCTGTCAAATGTTTAAGCCTTCATAATAACCTGCATAGTGCAGATGGAAATCATAATTTTGAAACAAAACTACTAGAAATAAGAAGCTTCTTATGAAAAGAGCAACAGAATAATTGACAGCTAAATCATTTACAGGCCAAAAGCCTAACTATTGTCTTTTTCTTTCTTAAGAAATGTAGATTTATTAAACAAACTATGTGGATGACACACACCAGTTGACCTAAAGAGGCCAACAGTCTTCAACACTGTCAATTGGCTGATCCCAAGCATAATGAAATTTAGATTTTTCTTCCCCAAATTCCCCAGCAATAGCTCTCCCAACTGAAACTCCCCCCCAAACTACAATGACAGATTAAAATATCAATTATCAACTCCAACAAGTCCATATATACCTTACAATTCCACCAATTCAAAACATTAAAACACATAACCAGACAAAATTTGTATACACATTGGCAAATGCAATTATACATTTACTAAATACCCAAAACCTTGATTTCTTTTCTTTCCCATCCCAACCCAACAATATAATTATTTCATAAAGAAATTGAATATTTTCCTATGATGGTTTGTTTCATTATTGAAAGATTTGTGCTTTCAGCTGCCTCAAATTTCAACTTTGTTGCATTTTGCTACAAGATTAAATTTTCATTCTTTCATTGCAACTGCCGATCAGATCCAACGGTTGAATGGGCCCTTTGGCTATGGGGATGAGTTTTGGACCGTTGGATGTACAACGTATCTGAAATCTAGTCAATATGAAACGTCAATATTACCCTTAATGCTCCTTGTATTCTGCCAGGGTAGAATCGACATAAGTTTCGGGACTGATCAGATGAGAGCTCTTTGTATCCTGCCATGAAAGGAAGAAGGAAAATCATAAGTTTTAGTAATTATACCACGACCAAGTGGTCCTGTTTGTTGAGAATTGAGGAAATTTGGGTGAGAAATTCAGGGTTTTTCATTCTACCTACTTGTAACAAAAATGCAAGATGGTGATTTTGCAATCTCTTTACCAACCAGAACAACAATTCTTTACGAAAAATAATGTGTTCAGTAACGTAATTTAGTTTTGTTAGTTTTGAGAGGCATTGCAAACATGTTTGAGTTCCCACATTGGAACACAAGAGTTTCTTGGAGGTCTTTATAAGACTTACACTTGGAAATAGAATAGTTTGTATTGGCTATGCAAGTGGCCCAATTGAGTGGTTTGTGAGTATGGCCTTTTAGGTAAATGCCTAATTAGTTGGGTCAATGGTTAATTATATATATATATATATATATATATTAATCAAAAGATGGGCCTTGGGGCTCTCGGAACATGAAAGTGCTAAAATCTTTATACGGATAATAACTTTGGAAAAGTAAAAAATTAAAAAAGGACAATGGATACTCGAGTGATGGCAGAGAATCGTGAAACATTCAAAATACCAGAAAATGTCATTAGTTCATTCAAACATTAAGAATTGAAATTATTAATTAAATGATGATAATATGGTAAATTCACATGTTTTCATATTAAAAAAATTAAAAATTAAAAACAAAACAGATAATAGGTCATACTTTTATGGAACATAACTACCCATGTTATATTTTCTTAATTCTAAAAATAAAATATAAAAAAAGAAAAGAAAACCAATTGGCACATGCGTTGGGGCTAGTATATATTTATAGGTGATAGTTGCAAAAAAATTGGGGAGGGGTGGTATTTTCAGTTAAAATTATAAAAAGGGTGGCATTTTGAGCTATTTCCCTATTTTTTTTAATCTTGCAATAGATTCTCAACTCCAAGAATTAAATATCTAATTTAGTGATCAAACAACATAGTTGCTTATTTTGGGTCGACTTTGGATCCCCATGAAGGGAATAAATCTTTTAGAATTGATGATATTTGTCAATTGGTATATAAGTTCTACCCCTAAGACTTCGAAGATCATACGAAGACAACTTCAACATTTTGAGAGTGATGTCCTTCGACTTCCAGAGTTCAAAAACTTGTTAACAATTTCTGATCTATCTTAATGGATGGTAATGGCTAGAAGATCAACGACATATCCACTTGTTTATAGAGTGGTTATGCTTGTGCTTACTCTTCATGTTTCTATTGCAACTGAAGAGCGATTGTTTTTTGCTATGTGTATAGTAAAAACTAGGCTTCATAACAAGATGGAAGACGAATTTCTCATAGACTCTTTGATTATATACATCGAAAGGGAAATTGTAGAAAAGTTTATCATTGACTCAATCATAGATGGTTTTTGAGATGTGAAAGAACGACAAGTGTTATTTTGACACCTAATTGAACAAACAATTACTTTTTGCCTTTTATTTTTCCAAACATTGTTAACGTTGAAAATTTGAAATTTTTTAATTTCTTGTTTGGTTTATATGTTGGCCGCCCAACACATAAAAATCTGGCAACGCCACTGTATACACAAGTACAATTGACTTTTCCTACAAGGAAAAGTAATTAGCTAATTACAAAGAATCCTAACGAAGTAATTATTCTAATTAAGTAACATGAATTACACCAGAAAATCAAGGATCATGAAATCCCTAAATTATGGCTCACACCAACAACAATTGTCTTTTGACTTAGAGCATATTGCATGTTGAGCTATTAAGAAATTCGACTTTTCTTTCAATAGGTAGAATCTCATAGGAAGATCACACAGCTGAAATCACTACCTCAAAAAGTGAGATTTATTTTTCTTTCAATCCCATCAAATATTTAAATTTATTTGTTTTTATAAGATTAGTAGTGAAATTATTCACGGTATACATTTTATTTTATGACCATAATTGCGTTTTTTTATTTTTATTTTTTATTTTACAGAAGAGTGGCAGTGAAATCATTCACTCTACGTATGACCTAAATGGTAGTTGACATGAATGGAAAATCCAAAATACTTATTCAAGTATAAGAAGCAGCATGTGATCATTATTTACAAACGGGTACACATCTATATACGTACCTTGGAATTGGCTGGATATACAAAGGGAAAGCAAAGGGGTAACTGCTTCGTTGCAAAGCAAAATATTATATGGTTGACTAACATTAACAAAAGTGAAAGGAATTAAGCATGGGACTCCAAAAGTCCAATGTGCTTGGATTGGATTAAAATCAAATGCGTGCCTCACAAATCACCCAAAAACCTGACTTAGAGTTATGTGACGCCTCCCCTAAGTCAAAGTCCACATGCAGATGCGTCTACTTAAAGTCTTCTAAGTCAAACGCAACCAAACCACAACACATGTGACAGGTCTTCTCTCTATGCCTCGGCCAATTTTATTTGGACTCCAGAACTTTTCATTTGAAACTATCCTCGCTCAGTCATGTTTGTCCCTTTATAAATCCGTCACAATTCCCAACTCATTATGTAAAACATTTGTCTTTCTGTAAATCTGTCATTGTTTCTGACTCATTATGTAACTCTCGTATAAAACAAGCTTCAGTTTTCCTCACTGCCCCACGCAAATAGAATTTGTCTCATTTTCATTATTGCGGGAGAATTTAATTTATAATTCAGTCAAACCCTTAAAACAAGTCACAAGAAATGCATATGCCACATGAATATTCTTTTTTTTCAGAAAAGGGGCGTGGGAAACGCACTCAAATAAATTCCAACTAGTCGACGCACTTGCTTCAGTGCGTGGGCACCTCCCCCACTTTCCCATACAGCAGTACAAATTATAAAATTCAAAACACAGGAACCAAACATCGATCTACCGAAACCTAACCCCCCCACCCCCCAATTTCTCCCTTTCCCCCACTCAATTCCCAACAAAATATGGCCTCTAACATTATCAAACCCAAGAAACTCATTTCCTCTTCCCAATCAAATCTTTGCACCACCCTCTTCTTCATTGTCCTCTTCACCATCCCTGCCCTTTTTCTCCTCCACACACCCACCACAACTTCTCACTGCACCACTTTCTCCACCCGTCCCAGCCCTTGGTCCGGCGATCTTCGAACCGCGGAGTTCGCCTGGAACCGCCTCTCCTTCCCTCTGGACCGTCCTCGACCCGTCTCCCTCAAGATCGCCGTGTTCTCGAGGAAATGGCCTGTCGGAACGGTCCCAGGCGGCATGGAACGCCATGCTCACACTTTACACACAGCCCTCTCTCTCCTCGGCCACCAAGTCCACGTGTTCACCTCCCCAGTCCTCCCTCAAGAGCTCAAACTCGAGACTCAACAAGGAAGCACTAGCTCATCATCCCCACACATCCACTTCCACGAGGGCGAGCCCGGCCGCTGGCGTTACAACAAAGCATGGGAGCAGTTTTTGGAAGAAAACCAGCGTGAAAAATTCGATGTGGTTCACTCCGAAAGCGTGGCGCTTCCCCATTGGCTGGCCCGGAACATACCAAACCTGGCAGTGTCATGGCATGGGATTGCTCTAGAGAGCCTGCACTCAGGCATATTCCAAGACTTGACACGTAAGCCTACCGAGCCTATCTCCCCAGATTTCAACAGAAGCATTCAAGGGGTTGTGCCAAAGGTGTTGAATGAGATAAGATTCTTCCATAACTATGCCCATCATGTTGCTATAAGTGATAGCTGTGGGGAGATGCTAAGGGATGTGTACCAAATACCAAATAAAAGAGTCCATGTGATTGTTAATGGTGTCAATGAAGCTGACTTTAGCGTAGATAAAAAACTTGGCCAAGAGTTTAGGTCGTTGATCGGCATATCGAAAAATGTGAGTTTGGTGTTTGGAGTGGCTGGTAGATTGGTGAAGGACAAGGGCCATCCTATACTTTATGAAGCATTCTCCAAGCTAATCCAAAAGTACCCGAATGTGTATTTGGTCGTGGCCGGTTCGGGGCCATGGGAGCAAAGGTATAAGGATTTGGGGCCTCAAGTTCTAGTTCTTGGGTCTATGAGTCCATCTAAGTTACATGCGTTTTACAACGGCATCGATATTTTTGTGAATCCGACGCTGCGACCGCAGGGTCTCGATCTGACTCTCATGGAGGCGATGATGAGCGGGAAGCCGGTTATGGCGTCAAGGTTTCCAAGCATCAAAGGTACGATTGTTGTGGATGATGAGTTTGGCTTTATGTTTTCGCCAAACGTAGAGTCGTTGTTGGAGGCTTTGGAATTGGGTGTGAAGGAAGGGTCAAAGAGGGCTGCCCAAAGAGGAATGGCATGCCGAGAATATGCAAATTCCATGTTTACTGCTAGAAAGATGGCATTAGCATACGAGAGGTTGTTTCTTTGTATAAAAAATGAAACATTTTGTACCTATACCCTTAATTAATTAGGCTATAGATATATTTCTTTTTACTTAAAATTTCTTACAATTTTTCATAGGAAACTTTTTTTAATTTTACATCATCACATGATATCCTTTCTCTTTAAATTACATTAATAACAATTAATGTAACATTATTATATAATACTGAAATACAGCCTCGTGAAATTATTATATAATACTAAAATACATCTTACCTTAAATTATTAAAAGGTGTGTTGGCTGTCTTTGGCGTTGTTGCTTTCTTCTGGTTGGCTTTAATATGAATGCTTTCCTTTGTGCTATCTGAGCGTGGGTTGTACAGTTTTGGTCCCTGGCCTTCATGTGCGTCAGTTTTTAACGTTTTCTTTTTCTTCAAAATAAGATAATATATATCTATATAGAATGAATTAATAATTAATTAGCTTGCCTACTAATTATATACCTCTTATATATCATATATAATGTAGTTGTATAACCATCCATAAAATAATAATAATAATAATAATAATAATAATTGGTATTTTGGCATTGTTGTAACATGTGGGTTCTTCAAAGCATCTTTTCTAGTTTATATATTTGTCGTAAGTTCTGTTTAGATGCATACTGATAATTTTTTGTCCGGGCGCACCAATAATAGAGGCGGAGTACATTTGCACCTTGACCTGTTTAGAATTATGTGTATAATACGTGAATTTTGTGTCTTATTGAAATTTTTGTAAAAAATCAGTGTACTAAACATGAGAAATACGTGTGTACGTATAATAACAGAAAGGGACGATACTATTTATACGGGTAATAACTTTGGAAAAGTAAAGAGTGCTAAAATCTTTATACTGGTAATAACTTTGGAAAATTAAAAATAAAAAAGGGACAATAGATACTCAAGTAATGGCCTAATAATAACAGATAAGGTCTTGGGCTATGGAGAAATTTAATTAAGACACCCAAACGATTTCACAAAAGACTTAATAAATATAAATTAATTATTTGGTGGACTTTTTCTTTAATTTTTTATATTAAATAATAATTAAAATATAAGCACTAATTAAAGTAATTCAAAAAGGCTAAGACATTGCTCAATTACATATGTTTAATTAAAGAAGAAGGCCAAACAACAAAACTAAATAAACTTATTTTTTTATATTTAAAAATGAAAAAAAAAGAAAAAAAACCAGTCCCAGATTAAATTTTCTTCTAAAATCGTATAGCCGAACGGCTATACAATTTATCTATTAAAAAGGGACGCGCACAAAGAATCGGTGCCACTTGTCAAAAAATTAAACCCGGCCGGCTATACTATTTTGAAAAACAAATTGGGAGAAAGGCGTATACCCGAATGGCTATACTATTTCTTAAAGAAAATTCAGGAGGAATCTAGTATAGCCGGTCGGCTATACGGTTTTTACACCTCATAATGCCTATGCGCCACGTGTCAAATAGTACAGCCGGGCTGCTGCACTATTTATATTTAAAAAAAAATTTAAAAAGCTTATAGCCGAACGGCTATACTATTTTTTTAAAACAATTAGGGAGATTGAGATTTTTTTTAAATACATATTACATTTATTCAATAATATGTTAGAATTATGTGTATAATATGTGAATTTTGGGTCTTATTGAAATTTTTGAAAAAAATCAGTGTACTAAACGTGGGAAATACGTGCGTACGTATATAACACATTATTAAACGTGAGAGTGCTAAAATCTTTATACAGGTAATAACTTTGGAAAAGTAAAAAATCAAAAAGAGACAATAGATACTCAAGTAATGGCCTAATAATAACAGATAAGGTCTTGGGCTATGGAAAAATTTAATTAAGGCACCCAAACGATTTCACAAAAGACTTAGTAAATATAAATTAATTATTTGGTGGACTTTTTCTTTAATTTTTTATATTAAATAATAATTAAAATATAAGCACTAATTAAAGTAATTCAAAAAGGCTAAGACATTGCTCAATTACATATGTTTAATTAAAGAAGAAGGCCAAACAACAAAACTAAATAAACTTATTTTTTTATATTTCAAAATGAAAAAAAAAGAAAAAAAACCAGTCCCAGATTAAATTTTCTTCTAAAATCGTATAGCCGAACGGCTATACAATTTATCTATTAAAAAGGGACGCGCACAAAGAATCGGTGCCACTTGTCAAAAAATTAAACCCGGCCGGCTATACTATTTTGAAAAACAAATTGGGAGAAAGGCGTATACCCGAATGGCTATACTATTTCTTAAAGAAAATTCAGGAGGAATCTAGTATAGCCGGTCGGCTATACGGTTTTTACACCTCATAATGCCTATGCGCCACGTGTCAAATAGTACAGCCGGGCTGCTGCACTATTTATATTTAAAAAAAAATTTAAAAAGCTTATAGCCGAACGGCTATACTATTTTTTTAAAACAATTAGGGAGATTGAGATTTTTTTTAAATACATATTACATTTATTCAATAATATGTTAGAATTATGTGTATAATATGTGAATTTTGGGTCTTATTGAATTTTTTGAAAAAAATCAGTGTACTAAACGTGGGAAATACGTGCGTACGTATATAACACATTATTAAATGTGAGAGTGCTAAAATCTTTATACAGGTAATAACTTTGGAAAAGTAAAAAATCAAAAAGAGACAATAGATACTCAAGTAATGGCCTAATAATAACAGATAAGGTCTTGGGCTATGGAAAAATTTAATTAAGGCACCCAAACGATTTCACAAAAGACTTAGTAAATATAAATTAATTATTTGGTGGACTTTTTCTTTAATTTTTTATATTAAATAATAATTAAAATATAAGCACTAATTAAAGTAATTCAAAAAGGCTAAGACATTGCTCAATTACATATGTTTAATTAAAGAAGAAGGCCAAACAACAAAACTAAATAAACTTATTTTTTTATATTTCAAAATGAAAAAAAAAGAAAAAAAACCAGTCCCAGATTAAATTTTCTTCTAAAATCGTATAGCCGAACGGCTATACAATTTATCTATTAAAAAGGGACGCGCACAAAGAATCGGTGCCACTTGTCAAAAAATTAAACCCGGCCGGCTATACTATTTTGAAAAACAAATTGGGAGAAAGGCGTATACCCGAATGGCTATACTATTTCTTAAAGAAAATTCAGGAGGAATCTAGTATAGCCGGTCGGCTATACGGTTTTTACACCTCATAATGCCTATGCGCCACGTGTCAAATAGTACAGCCGGGCTGCTGCACTATTTATATTTAAAAAAAAATTTAAAAAGCTTATAGCCGAACGGCTATACTATTTTTTTAAAACAATTAGGGAGATTGAGATTTTTTTTAAATACATATTACATTTATTCAATAATATGTTAGAATTATGTGTATAATATGTGAATTTTGGGTCTTATTGAATTTTTTGAAAAAAATCAGTGTACTAAACGTGGGAAATACGTGCGTACGTATATAACACATTATTAAATGTGAGAGTGCTAAAATCTTTATACAGGTAATAACTTTGGAAAAGTAAAAAATCAAAAAGAGACAATAGATACTCAAGTAATGGCCTAATAATAACAGATAAGGTCTTGGGCTATGGAAAAATTTAATTAAGGCACCCAAACGATTTCACAAAAGACTTAGTAAATATAAATTAATTATTTGGTGGACTTTTTCTTTAATTTTTTATATTAAATAATAATTAAAATATAAGCACTAATTAAAGTAATTCAAAAAGGCTAAGACATTGCTCAATTACATATGTTTAATTAAAGAAGAAGGCCAAACAACAAAACTAAATAAACTTATTTTTTTATATTTCAAAATGAAAAAAAAAGAAAAAAAACCAGTCCCAGATTAAATTTTCTTCTAAAATCGTATAGCCGAACGGCTATACAATTTATCTATTAAAAAGGGACGCGCACAAAGAATCGGTGCCACTTGTCAAAAAATTAAACCCGGCCGGCTATACTATTTTGAAAAACAAATTGGGAGAAAGGCGTATACCCGAATGGCTATACTATTTCTTAAAGAAAATTCAGGAGGAATCTAGTATAGCCGGTCGGCTATACGGTTTTTACACCTCATAATGCCTATGCGCCACGTGTCAAATAGTACAGCCGGGCTGCTGCACTATTTATATTTAAAAAAAAATTTAAAAAGCTTATAGCCGAACGGCTATACTATTTTTTTAAAACAATTAGGGAGATTGAGATTTTTTTTAAATACATATTACATTTATTCAATAATATGTTAGAATTATGTGTATAATATGTGAATTTTGGGTCTTATTGAATTTTTTGAAAAAAATCAGTGTACTAAACGTGGGAAATACGTGCGTACGTATATAACACATTATTAAATGTGAGAGTGCTAAAATCTTTATACAGGTAATAACTTTGGAAAAGTAAAAAATCAAAAAGAGACAATAGATACTCAAGTAATGGCCTAATAATAACAGATAAGGTCTTGGGCTATGGAAAAATTTAATTAAGGCACCCAAACGATTTCACAAAAGACTTAGTAAATATAAATTAATTATTTGGTGGACTTTTTCTTTAATTTTTTACAGAATTATGTGCATGATATGTGAATTTTGGGTCTTATTGAATTTTTTGAAAAAAATCAGTGTACTAAACGTGGGAAATACGTGCATACGTATATAATACATTATTTAACGTGAGAGTGCTAAAATCTTTATACGGGTAATAACTTTGAAAAAGTAAAAAATCAAAAAGGGACAATAGATACTCAAGTAATGGCCTAATAATAACAGATAAGGTCTTGGGCTATGGAAAAATTTAATTAAGGCACCCAAACGATTTCACAAAAGACTTAGTAAATATAAATTAATTATTTGGTGGACTTTTTCTTTAATTTTTTATATTAAATAATAATTAAAATATAAGCACTAATTAAAGTAATTCAAAAACGCTAAGACATTGCTCAATTACATATGTTTAATTAAAGAAGAAGGCCAAACAACAAAACTAAATAAACTTATTTTTTTATATTTAACTAAATAAACTTATTCTTTTATATTTAAAAATGAAAAAAAAAAAGAAAAAAAACCTGTCC